GGACTTAAGATTTATGGCAAGTTCTTTTTGAATATGGTAATTTTAAAACACGGTTTTCTTCTTTTAGTTCTGGGTTGCTTAAGGGGGTATACATCCTATTTTATGAAAAAGGCTTATGTTTGTTTGATTGCTACAAAATATATTTCTCATGAAGAGTCGTGATGGTTTTGCCTATGTGTTCACATTTCAGATCAGTGTGCATTTATTTTAGTGAAATACATCAGCATGCTGAGATGTATTCTTCTCCCTCCCCTGCCAATTTAATGCTACTGCTGCATGAATTGTTAAGGGAGTACTACAAGACATGTGTTTAATAGCTAAAACTGCCTTCTAGTTTTTCTTTTTAAACTTATTTTTCCTCTCTATTTTGATTTTAGCTATTGACTGCATTACAGGCGTAATTCACTACTCTTTCTTATACCTTGTGTGGTCCTTTACACCCTGTAAAAAGTGGATGTAAAACACTACATCAAAAAAGAATGAAATGCCATTTATGTAAGTGAGAATGATCAAATAAAATCAGGCACTGGAGAATTGAGATCAAAGTATTTTGATTTCTTTTGAAAACTCCTTAATAGAAGAAGTGTCTCAAAGCTGTTCATCTAAGAAGCAAAACCATATTAATCATTAAACTAAGATGAAGTGCCTCTTTCACCCATGCCAGCCTGTTCCCTTGCACTGCTGCTTTGTTTTAACAACAGTTCTGTCTCTGCATTCCAAGGGCTAGGTATAGAATTCAAAAACCTAAGGTGGAGCTGATCTAAGTTATGTGGTTTTTTGTAAGTAGCGTAGCTTAGATTGGGAGTGAAGAGAATACACAGTTGTCCTTTGGCGGGGTAGGCAAATCTGCCATTTTAAAACTAGTCTATGTGTACTGAACTTCTGTTCTGGGTGTAGACCGGTTTTGTAGGGTGAACTTCTGTTATGGGTATAGACCAGTTTCCAATCACTTATAATGGTAAAAGTGTAATGTCTGTACCTGGCCCAAGGGTTTGGGGTTCCATCTTTTAGAGGAAATTATTTGCTACCTTAACCAGAAATAACCTGGGAGGGAGAGATGTACTTAGGCAATAGAAAAAGCTGGTTCTAGGTATCTATTTGGATCATTCTGAGTCACTCCATTGACTCTATATGGTTTGTAGGTACCTAACTCTGTCAGTTTGGATTGTTTTCTTGAGCCCAGGTGCTTAATTTTAGATGCTCTAATTCCTAAGTGGAGGCACCAGCTTGATATGCCCCACAAGTGGATAGTTTTCAGAGATTCTTGAATAAGGGCAGAAAATGCTATAGCATTTCACATTATAATCTCATCCTCCTGCTAGTGGTTTGTCCAAGAGTCCCATGAGATGTTTGCTAAGAACAGCACCTGAAAATGCTTGATTCAGATTTATTGAAAGTTGTAGTATAAGGTTGCTCTTATCTTAGATTATTATTATGCTTATGGCTGTTGAAGTTCATTTGTATCATAAAGATATGTAATATCTGGTATACTTTAGAGGCTAATGGAGTATGTCAGGGATTTGGGAGTAATTATGGGGATTTCCATTCCTTCCCTGATGCCAAATTCTACTTGGTTTTATTCATATACTTAATGCCAGCTGTTGAAGTCACACACAAGAAGGGTATTTTATCCTTTGAGGTTTAGGAGGTAAGTTAGATCATGAAATGACAGCACCGTGGATCCAAAATCTCTGCATGGTGCACCAGAGTCTGTAGATGGTGAAAAACAAAACCTGTGATTGTTCCATAGTTACTGTTATCAATTACAAAGCAGGATAGAGTGTCTCTTAATTAACTTAATAGCCCAATAGGTGCATTTAGACATAACTAATTAGAACTTTGTTGTAATTGGGCCTTTGATTAATGGACTGTGAAGGCTGCTCCATTTTTATTAAATGCATTCTACCCAGGAGAGCCCACAGTTCACTAGCAGACTCTCTCTATACCTGAAGAAGGGTGTTTGTGCCCCAAAACTAGCAAAGAACAGTTTTTCCAACTATTTAGTTGGTCTAGTATAAGATATTACATCTACCCAAAGAACTTTGTCTGCCTCTGGATGGTCACATCTCCCTGGCTTCCCCCTGCTCCCCTCCCTCCCCTCTAAGCAGGGGTTCTGCCAACACACAGCATTAGCTAGCAGACCATAGGTCCGTGCTGTGGCAGATGGGACAAAGGCTGGTAATGTCCCTCTGTTGTTTTCTTAACACAGGGTGATAAACACAGTGTTATCAGTTCCCTGCTGGGCTGGTCAGAAGGTGGGGAATTCTTCACTAATCAGAGTGTCCTGCCAGGACCTGGACATGCCCCACTCAGCTTAGCATTGTGGAAGGGAAGGGAGAGCTGCTCTAGCATCCCCCGGCTTCTAGCCTGAGCCACTGCATGTGGCATGTGCCTGCATTTTTTCAATCCAGAGGGGATGGCTACACAGTTACAAACTGGTTTAGCCAGGTTAGACTAACCTGCAAACATTGAATGAATTCAGCTGCAGGCTTTTTGAATAACTGTCCCTAGTTTATATGACCTTTTAATGTCCTTTCTAGTCCTGCTTTCCTAGTATTAGGATCACTTAATATTGGCACAGCCCATTTTCCACCCACATAGATGAAAATATCCTATTTCTGTTGTATAAATGTTTTCTTTTACAGGTTCTTACAGAATGAAAGTGGGGCCAACATATGTCTACACATCACGTAAGATATTTTTTCAGGGCATAAACTACTGTATTAGCCCCTTGCCTAGCATTCTGAAAATTATTCCAGAAAATATACAGAATATGACATACCTGAGAAAAGTATGGAACAACATTTTTAACTGTCTGATGTTTTACTGATATTCCTTTTACTCAATCCATTCTATATAGACATGTAGGCATTTTACAATTTTTATTTCTTGAGTATCGTTTTTCAGTACTACATTAGTTTTTATAGCAAACTGTTAACTTTTCTTATCCATTTCTTCAAAAATGAGCAATATTGGGGACCTTATATCAACTTACACCAGCCTGTTTAGATTAACCTGACAAGGAGAAAAGTCCTGCTTATTCTTCACTACAGATTGTTTTGAGAAATGATACAAATCATAATCTTTTTGCTACATAATGACATGATTTTTTGCTAAAGTGCCCCCCCGGTTGAATTCCTTTCTTTGCTTTGTCCATGATAAGCATGCGAGAAATCCTTTCCTGATGAGAGAAATCCTTTCCTGACACAGCTTCTGCACTTTAGCCTGTTGAAGAATACTGTGGTAGTTGATAAGATGTTGCCAAGCAACAATAGATGGGTTACTCCAAGTAGTTGACAGCCTTCTGGATATAAAATTCCTAACATCATATTCCTGTTCTGTAGAATGGCCTTCTTCCATATGACATAAAACATATGTGCTTGTTCACATGAGTGGGAGACTTTCTTGGTAGAATCTTTGTGGGTTAAATTCCTTTTGTTCCTTTTGTGACTGGTGCTCAATTAGGTGGTGCTCTTGTTGAGAAATGTATTTTGACGTATCATAGCTTTTTTAAAAAACAGCGTTAAACCCAGAAACCAGATATATTTTCTATCTTGGCTTCTTAAGATAAAGTTCTTACTCTCCATTTGGAGGTTTATATATACCTTATTTTCTGTTATACATAATCCTTTACACCACTCTGGAAATAGAAAAGAGACCTCACAATCAGTAATTAGCTCTTTCTCCACATACTCCTTTACCAAACTATCTTCTCTGAAAACAACTCAACTTCAGACATCAACTTCTATTAATATCAGAGGAAATATCTGATGAGCAGCCTGTAGAGAAGGACTGAAGTAGGGGTGAATTGCAAGTTGTGGTGTGCAGTCTGTACCATATAGTGCTTGTGGCAAGGCATGTTCTTTGGGTGGATCAGAAGATGATATAAACTTTTTGCTAATTTAACTTTTCACTTCCTTGGGTTTATGTCAGTTATATTAGACCTGTACAAGCGTAGCTACTTCACAATTTTTTTGGTATATTTATTGGTTTTGAGTTTGGTTTGCTTAACCAGCAGTACAAAAATAGACAGTAAAATAAACTATGCAAAATATTTTGGTCTGTTTCCTGGATTATGTGATAAAATAAAATTTCTAATTTGTCTTGTTTGACATACTGATCATGCAACATTCATTTTACATTCTTCCAACAGGGTTAAAATATACTGTACCATTTATTCACCTGAATCTTAAATAAACAATTGTGTGTGTGACTGGCAAGAAAACAGGTTGCTTTAGGTGGGAAGTCAGGGTATCCAGCATCTCACATATCTATATATTTTTGCCTTTATTCATAATCTATTTTGCGAGTTGTATGCTTTTTATAATGTTAGTTTGTTAAAGGATAGCTAATGGGACTTTTACCATGCAGGTTGCTTTTACTTACTGATTCCATTGCATTTTCTAGGGAGACTCCGTATGATTGGGACTAGACTACTTCAAAGCTCTAAGCCATTTGGCTTCAGACAATTTATAACTTCTCATAAAATATTGTACCATAACTGCAACTGTTTGCGACTGCAAACATTTTTCAAACTATCTACAGTGAAAGCAAGCACAACTCTGGTGTATAGTCATATTCATTGTCCATGAAAATCATTCATACGGCAATATCTATAAGATGATCTTCTGAGTTTCTGGGCCTAATTCTGCATTTCACGGACTTCAGTGAAATTCCTCTCCACTTGTCATGGTGGAAAAGGATCAGGATCAGGAAGTGTGCCCTTCTGAAATACTGCTTATTTGAGTATATAAGATTGTGTGGTTCCCTAATGTCTGCAGAGTCTGGAAGACATATTGCATAAGAGAAGTTCCGCATACATGCAGGTTTTCACAGATTAATAATTTGAAATTACTGACAATTTAAACCCTCTTCACAAAAACTGAAGACATGTTTTGGCTTGGTTAATTACAGTTATTGATATTCTTTTGTTTATCAGTATAGTGCTTGGTATAAGTTATTATACTAAACTGAATTGCATTTTTTTAAATCTATTTAAGGAATTGATGACCAAGCTGATAACAGAAACACCTGACCAGCCAATCCCATTTCTCATTGACCATCTTCAGTCTAAACAGGGAAACCGCAGTCAGCTTCAGAGAACACTGTCAGGATCTGCTGCTCTCTGGGCAGAAAGTGAAACATCAGGTAAGCATGGTATGGTTGTGTGCTTTGAAATAAACGTTGGAATGGGCTAGTCTCCTGTAATTTGTTCAGACACATGATGTAAAAACAAGGAAGAATTTTTAAGATGAAGAAAAACTAATATTTTCAATAAGTGATTATATTTATTTTATGTACCATTAAAGGGTTTCTGTGCATTCTATGCATATGGCATAGAAGGTCAGATATTCCCCTTATCGAGTTATTTTTTTTGTGGTCAAGGGAAAGAGTTTTAGTTTCTAAAATTTCACTTTTCTATTGTCTTTGTTGCATTGAAGAATAACTTCTGAGTACACAGGAGGCTGGATAGTGAGTAGCATTGTGCAAAACAGCACTGTTCTGCTTCGACTTCTGTTTTGATGGAACAGTGTTTTGTTTTGAGTTTAGTTTCATTTTGAAAGCACTGTTTCATTTCGTTTTGTTGAAACAGTTTAGCTGTTTTGACTCTGTTTTGATGTTTTGCCCATAGGCTATAGTGGGTAAGCATAAAACTAGAGGAGGAGCAGCCTTCTGTGGTTGCAGGCAGATGTGCGGGTGAGAGGCTGCCGCTGTCACCTGGGACCGGCACTGGGAGCTGAGCCCACTTCCCCCCACCAGGCTCAGTTCCACAGGGTTGGGAGCTGCTGGGTGCTGAGCCCGGTGGAGGGAAGCAGTGTGCAGACCCGGTGCTGTGCGCTGCCTCCCCTCACTGGGCAGCAAGCTGCTGGGTGCTGAGCCCGGTGGAGGGAGGTAGCATGCAGTGCTGGGGCTGCACACCACCTCCCTCCACTGGGCTCAGCACCTAGCGGCTTGCTACCCATTGGGGGGAGGCAGTGCATATTGCCAGGGCTGTGCTCTGCCTCCCTCCACCAGGCTCAGCTCCCAGCAGCTTGCAGCCCTGTGGAACTCTGTCAGTGGTGGGAGGTGGAGCACAGCACCAGCTCTGCCCACTTCCTGTCATTGGGCTGAGCTCCATGGGGCTGGTGGAGCTAAATGGAGTGCAGCCTGATGGTGGTAGGTGGGGAGAGTCAGGGCTGCACTACACCCCAGGCTGAGCCACATGGGTCTGTGGAGCCACTCGGAATGCAGCCCTGGCTCTCCCCTGGCTCCCACTGCCTGGCTGCTGCTTTGAAACTTAAAATGTTTTGAAACTTTCAGAACGTTTCAACTGGCCTCGTTTCATTTTGAGGTTTTGAAGCTCTTTGTTTTGTTTCGATTTTGCTGTTTTGAGCTCGAAACGAGTCAAAACAGTGTCAAAACGAAACAGCCGGCGAAGCTTCACACAGCCGTAATAGTGAGTGACTGAGGATTTATGTCTGAGAGCACGAACAGCCAAATATAACAATTTTGAGAGGAAATCCAAGAATGAGGACTTCTGAGCTGGTTTGTGAGGTTTGTGAACAAAGGCACTGTCTCCTGTTCTTAGATTCCTGCTATATTTGTGGAAAAATAACTCTATGTACATTCTTGTGGGACTGGGATTATGTAAAATCCCTGGCTCCACCATTTAGTTCTCCTCCTAGTAGAAAAAACCACCAAGATCTCAAGTATTGGTTATGTGTTCAAGTCAAAAGGGGTCACAATGCAACATGAAATATGTAAATTATAAGGACTGTAGCATAAGTAGAAATAATAATATATAGTAGTTTAGGTTAGGGCTAGGCTGTAATAATGCACATTTGTAATAATGCATATTTTAATATGATTTCCATTAACATTTCATGGGAAGTAGCCATGTGGATCCTTGTGTAAGGAATTTGCTTTGAGATTTTCAGAATAAAGGGGGAAAAAAGTGAAACAGCTTGTGCTCTAACTTTAAAATAGAAATTCTAACTTCAACAGGAAGGTAGTGTTTGCTGTGATTTTGGTTTTGTATCAAAAGTTGACTGACACTCATTACTAGACTATACCAAATTCCTTTCAGCAGCTGGCAGTTAAAATGTCAATTGCTTGGTGAACACACATTTAATTAATATCAACATTTAAGTGTAAGCACGGTAGTTCTAGAACTACTAAAGCTTCTCTGTCAGGGACAGAGTATTGACCTTAACTTCTTTTACAGTACTAACGATTGGCTGCTGTATTTTTAATCACGGGCATGTTCATAAATTTCCCAAGGAAAATGTGAAGAGAAACAAGCAGCAGTTTGTATAGTCTTGTGCTGATATAGTTTAGCAAGGAAAGAGAGGAAAGAACTTGACCTTATCTGTGTTCTTCCATTGGTACTTTGGTTTGTCTGGATAAACTAGGTATATTGTTGCCTGAGTTTATTGTTATCTTGAAAAATAGCTAGGCAAATGTAATCCTCTCATTGTATTGCTTTCAAACAGAAAATAAAGGAACAAGAAGAGATTTCAGAAGTTATGATAAACCTTGGCAGGTTAATGCAAAGAAGCCTAAAAAGTCGAAGAGTGACCTTGCTGTTTCCAACATTTCTCCACCGTCACCAGAATCCAAGTCATGTAAGGAAGATTTAATGTATTTTTAATCAAAGCGCCATCAAAATATGCAGCATATGATACTGTTCTGAAACAAAATGCAAAATAGGGTCATCCCTTTAAATTGAAATAACCATATATACATCTTGTTTTGTTTTAAACACAATATGGAGTGTTAGCAATAACTTGCTATTAAATATGAAAATATGATTAATTTAGCAAAATCTAAGTTTGGGTATCGTTACCTTTCTCAGGTGTAAATGTCAATTTTGATTAATATTACGGTTTTCTACATGTACGCACCAAACCTACTTCCTATACCTTTAACTGTGGGATCAATCAGTATAAAAAGTCACTGGGAACTCACTGGTTTTATTTACAGAAGCAGTGTTAGGAGAATAGGAATGTTGTTTTGATTGCTGGCGGAGTCTATGGACTAAATCTTATTCAATTTGCTTGCCTAAATGGCAGTTACTCAGCTGTGTAAGTGCTGTTTTTGACACACACACAGTTTTAGATTCTATTTCATTCTACATGCCTACCTCCTGGGGCAAAGGAGGAAATCCCTCCCATGTTTTACCTCTATAGACTAGTCCAGGAAGCTGGAAACCCAAATTCTATGCCGCCTTCACCCAGAGTGGAGCTTTGAACCTTCATCTCTTCCTTTCCAGGACTCTACTTGAACCATCATTCCACAGGTTAGGCTTTATCAGCCATTTCTCCAGCCCTTCTCTTGAGGAGGAAGGCGTAAGCCAGAGGTTATGTGGCTCAGTGAAATAGATGCTACTCTGGATTCCCCTGTGTTCTAGCCTGGACCCTTGTTCCAAATGGGGTAGAAATTTTTCTACTCGTCTCCCTTCATTTTATTTAACAAATATTAAACCCAACTGCAGTGGACCAGTTTTAAAGTCATTAGCCCCTGCCCAACTGCTAGTCCTGCATTTTTTGCCCAGCTGCACTTTTAGAGCTTACCTTACACATATACTTGGGTAAGTGTGTAGTGCCATCTATCTGCCTGGGGAAAATGCAGCCCTACTGAGCATGCTCAGTGGGTGTGGGGATGCTTGATTGCTCACATTGCACTCAATACAATTTGAAACTGACTAACTGCCAAAAGCAACACGTACGCAGTTGGGAAATTGCTATTTAGGCATGAAAAGTGCAATAGGTTTTAGCCAAAATATCTGTTAAAAGGAAGGCAGAAGCTAAATTGAATGATTGAAGAGAATATTGATAGTGATTTGTCAAGTGCGGTAGTAAAAACAGTGGTAAAAAATAACAATTAGGCAGAGTAGCACTTGTGCCTACATGTAAAGCATCAGATAGTAACAATTTTAATTCTGAGTGTAGGTTTTATTGTGTTTTAATGCAAGTAAGCTGATGCTTCATAAATCATTTTGAAGAATTTAAGATTAAAAAAATATAATTAATATTGCATTTGGAGGATTTCTGTGCTCCTTGCTCTGCAGTCTGAGCAAAAATGTTATTGAAAAGTGAAGGGTATAGTCCCCATGTTGAGGATTTTGCTCTGTCCACTCTGAGATAGCTGACAATCAGGGATCCTGGTTTTCTGTGGTTAAAATAAATAAATAAATAAAATCCCCAATTTTTGGATTAGAAAGAGTAACTCCAAATCCACATTTTTCATGATTAAAATGAAACACACACACATATATATATTACACACACACACACACACACACACACACACACACACACACACACACACACACACACACACACACACACACACACACACACACAGAGTGGTGTTTCATTTTAATCATGAAAAATGTGGATTTGGGGCTACTTTTTTAAATCCAAATATTGGGGATTTTTTTATCACAGAAAACCAGGATCCCTGCTGATAATGCCATATTTCTCATATACACAAAATGCAGCTACTGGAAATTGGGGTGCATATTATAATTAAGGAAATATGGTAACATTAAATCTCTGCTAGAGGAAAGGGAAAGGCTGCATATGCTGCATGCAGAGGTCTCTAGCTGTTGGCGGTGGACATTTTCTCTTCTCCCTTCTATCTCTGTCTCCCACCTGCCTCTTTGAAAGGATCTCAAGGAAAGATCTTCTTTCTTCATTCTGCCTTTAAAAAACAAGGTGCATATTTTATTTTATGCATGTTCCATGAGAAAAAAATACAGTATTTAACTTTCTTCTGCTTCAGGGCAAGAGTTTGCACACAGGCAGCTACCTCAGAGAAGCTGACAAATAGCAATTCACCAAGCCACTTTTATTATGTAGTAAACAGTTTGTCTGCCCATACCCTAGGTCACAATTAAGGAAATCTGATGTAAATACATACATAAAACTATTTCTTTGAGCCCTACTGTCATGTTGGCGGGAAGATAATATGCAAAGAGGTGGTATACAAAGGCAAAGAAAAAAAATCCCAGATACTTATATATTCTATAAGAGCAGAAGAGTACTTTAATATAGAATACTTTATGCTCCCACTCACACTGTAGGTGTCAGAAGAAATCATGGGTCATGTTCTGACATTTGGCTCCATACTGCCACATAACTCAGGAACATATCAGGCTGGCAGAACCCAGGAAGTGGTCAAAATTGGACATGCATGTAGATCTTCTGTTGATTAGGGCTGTGCGAGGCTTCGGACAGAGCTTCAGATCCAGAAAGCTTCGGACGCTTTGGGGTCTGAAGTGGCACATCTGGATCGAAGCGCTGGCCTCGTTAGGCTTCCCAAAGGGGTTCGGAGCTTCTAAAGTACTTCGGAGCTGCCTTGGAGCCACCTTGGAGATCTGGATGGGGAAACAATAAAATATCTATAACTTTGTTGTTTTTTGTCTGATTTGGATGACATTTTCAGGGATGGTAGACTCTGCAGAGAGGATGAAGTCTGCCACGTTTCAAGAAGATTGATGCAGGGGTTTGGGGGCAACAGCACCCCAAATTCTTGAAAGCAAAACTCCTGTCATGTCTGTGTTAACAACATAGAGGGGTGAAAACTGCAGGGATGGTAGCTCTTACTGACGCCACAAAGCCTGCCAAGTTTCAAGAAGCTCGGTGCAGGGATTTTGGGGCAACTGTACACCAAATTCTTGACAGCAAAACTCCTGTCACGTCTATGTGTTACAATACAGGGGGGTCAAAACTTCCCCCCAGCCTCAGTAAGAGCTACCAACCCTGCAGTTTTGACCCCCCCGTGTTGTAACACACAGCTGTGACATGAGTTTGGCTTTCAAGAATTTGGGGTACAGTTCCCCCCAAACCCTTGCACTGATCTTCTTGAAACTTGGAAGGCTTCATGCTCACAGCAGAGGCTACGATCCCTGAAAGTTTCATCCAAATTGGACAAAAAATAACAAAGTTATAGATATTTCTTTGATTTCCCCCTTATACCCTATGGCTGGATCTACGAGGTGGCTCTGAAACTTTGAAGCTGCTTCGGCCGGATCAAGGCAGAAACCCAGTCCAGAGCTCCAGGTCAGATCGTGGCCATCTGAAGTGGCCGGATCCGAAGCCAGATTGGATCGCTGCTGACTCGCATTGGCCTACTGTAGAAGTTCCTGGGCAACCTCTGAATTTTTTTTTCATGTCTGTGTACATGAAATTCCAGGTGTGCTACCTTGCAATTGAAAGTCCAAACTGAGGCACATGTATATAGGAAAATAACTTTGCACCTACTGAATACAGATGAAAACTGTAGACATTCAGGCTTATAAACAGGATATGTGCATCACAATGAATCTTATATCCTCTTAGGCATGCTTTCCATAAGTGAGACTTATGATTTTGCAATTATTACCCTGCCAGTGGTCTAATCTTCCCCACTGGAGTATCATATATTTATCAACTAATACAGTAAATGAGAGAGTCCCACAGAAAAGAGGAGGAAAAGAAAAACACTAGAAGTTTGCCTATCTTGAAACAATCTAAAATAGCAATAACAGGTTCTTCCTTGCCCAGTGCAGGCATATCACAGAATAATGATACATAGTATACAGCTTAAATCATTATAGCCATAAAAAATACTTTCTAAAAGTTTCATTGAGTGCAGTGCAGTGCAGTTCTGTAGATGTAATATTTTTAACACAAGGGTAGAGCATTAACACATCCTGCCAATACACATTTTTGTTTTAATTTGTCCATCTGTTGACTGCACTGCAATATCTGTGCTGAATTCCTGTTTCTTGCTGCCTGAAATATTTCAGGGCCCTAAAAATTTCAGTGTGGGATGGTGTGTCACAGTAGAAGCGATGATGTGGACTCAGAATTATGGATTGTAAAGTCCAGGTTCTGCATTTGTATCTTAACCATTTTTTTCATTTTAATAATAGAAGAACACCACTGAGATTTGAAGCTGCGCAATTCCATCTCATTTGAGCTTTCAAAACAGCATCTGAAATGAGGTGCCATAAAACCTGTAGGAGTAGATTAACTGCACAAGGAGCCTTCTCTCTGTAACTTTCTTTTAGAAATGATTTTTGCAGGAGATTTGAGGCACAAGGCTACTGAAAACTACTACACCAACTGTATGCCTTCTGCAATATCTAATCTTTGATTTTATTCCCCACCTTCTTAGTGATGCTAGTTTTTTCTCGTTACCTCAGTTTTAAGAAATCCTGGTAGTATATCATTTTGTCTCAGAAACTTAGATGACAGAATCCTATGTCGCTTGAAGAATTTTGCACAGTGTTTATCCTCCCAAAAATAAATTTAACAATTATATTTTAATCCTTTAAATCTTTCAACTCATTGAGACTTTTATTTGTAAGAACCAAACCTTTTAGGGTTCACACAGCCATTCACTGCACCTGGTCTACATTCAAATAGCTAGTTTACTATATTTTTGAAAGCAGTGTGTGTAACCATTTGCTGTTCCTGGGAGCTGCATGGGGCACCCAGTAGAGGTAACTTGGGGTGGGGTGAGGCAGGTGGGACTGGAGGGGGGTTGTTGGGTTGCCCAGTTGGGGCGGGGGGTTTCAATGAGCTAAAAAGAGCCCAGTTGGGTCTGGATTGGGGGGAGTGGGAAGAGCACAGCT